AATGGTCAGTCTCTTGCAGTATTTCTCCAGATTTGCTTTGCTGAAAGCAGTAGCCAGACCTGGGTCTGCATATGACAAAAATAACCCCATTGGTTCTACAGACTTCTGATTTTAGGGTGTTGTGTGCTAGCCAGCTAGCAACACACATCTCAATTCAAAATTCAAGGAAGATTTGAAAAGTGTAGATAATGTGTGTCCCAGCAGGGAAGTGGTTTTAGGGGACAAAAAAAAAAGCCTGTATTTTTGTACTGTTGTCTCTTGTTTTTAACACCAATGTCTGTTAAGTCTTAACTTTCAATTTAGGCCTCTTGTATTGGTTGATTACTGAGCAGAATATAGATTTCCATGAAATACTTCAGTTGTAAATGTCACTGAGCAGGAACTCACACAACATGTTGCAGTAGGAGTAGTGTAGCTGGAATGTGCTTTATTGTTTTTCTATTTGCTTGACAGAGGGCATGGTCTGCAGGCACAGATACTGTAGTCCAGACTGTACTGTTGATGAATATTTGTGAAATGTGCAATATGTGGGATGTATAGAATATTGAGCTTGCACCTTTTTTAGGTGATTTCAGTGGTTGGAAAAGCTGTATTTTTTTCCTGTTTTCACCATAGGAATATGACAGAAGACACGTTCAGCTTTGTGTGATTTTTGCAGAGCACCTTGGACATCTTGAGACATGCATTGTGAATTTCCATGTCCCCCTAAAGTGGTGGGAGATGCTGAATCTTGGGGGGCGGGGCAAGAACTGGACTCCATTTGGCATTTAAGCTGAATGGACAGTAATTTGGGGAAAAAAAAAATCTGCCCTGGATGGCTAAGATATATTTTCCCTTTCAGCTGCTCGGTTTCTGGTTCATCGATTCTTGTGATGTATTACCTTACCTGGTATGCTCTCTGATATTAAAACTTCAAAAAGAAGACATGCGAATGTCACTGGGCTTCTTGATATTTAAGCGACTTTAAGTAGCTGTCAGATGCATCCCGAAATGAACCTGGCTTCTTTTACACAGAAGGACAAAACTATACATTTTCTTCTCCAGGTCACCTGAAAGGGGATGAGAATTTGGGGCTAGAATTCTCCAAGCCTCTTCTTTCACAAGGCTTTGCACTCATCTCTTTCTCATCATGACAGGCTTGGAAACATAGTGTAGTCCTGATGCAAGATGTGTTAATATTTAGCATCAGAGAAGAGGTGAGATGCTTGCAGAAATATAGGGGTTTGATATAAGACTTGAAGCAAGATTGCTGGCATGATGTGTAGGGGCAGTGCAGCCAAAGAACGGTGGGACTAGCCTGCTTCTCACAGCATTGTAAATGTTTCTCCTGAGGCATGTTGTTCCTGTGAAAGGACAGGGAGATCTGTGGCAAATGATCAGAAAGTCACTTACGTAAAGGTGGTCTGCAAATCAATTTGACAACATCAGTTCAGTGTTTGTGCTGAATGCTCTCATTCTCCAGGCTAAGCAGAGAACAGCATTCAGCACATAACCGAAATGCTTACTATTTCTTTTTCTTAGGTTCTCTGAAGTCCAGCCCCGCTAGGACCTCCGGCTCCCGCTCCAATGTAACACCCACACATGCACCATGCTGGTGATATCACATCACCCAGGGATCCTGCTGGAGCTTGGAGCCGGCCTACAAGGGGTCAGGTAAGTGCCACTTGAAAACAAACTCCACAGCCCATTTCAGGGGTATCACTCTTAGTATTTCTTCTTAGTTCATAAGGCCTAAGAAGAAAAATGTTTTGATGGATAAACTAGATACCTCTGTTCTCTTAGCCTGGCTAATGGGGCATATAATATAATATGTATTGTTTACCTTGATACAAGTTTCACAAATTGATTTGCAGGTCACCTTTAACCTATAAAAGTGTGCATATTTGAATAAGATACATTTAGTTTGCCATACATACCATGTTTTCTGCCTTCTCTTACAACATGCTGTGTATTATGTTTAGATGAGTTCATGGTCTTGAAAAACCATGACTGGCTGCAGACATGTCAGGTTTGTTAATGTGACTGAGGCTACAAAAATTATTGAACTGAGATAGGTCAGCAAACCAGCTAGACCAGTAGTTTTATATGAAATGTTTGAGATGTGCAAAATCTTGCAGCAGACTGATCTAGAAAGTTTGTTCTCTCTTACTGAAATTGGTGTTTTCTTGTTTGAAATGAGGGTTTGTGTCCTTTCCAAAATGAGCTTGTATTTTTAAGCTTTGTAAAAATCTTGCTGGTTGAATTCCCTCATCCTTTTTAATCTTGCTCCTCTGTAAGACTGGCAAAATCCTGTGACCAACTTCTACAGGGCAAACTACCTATTGTCTGAAAAAGTTACATTTGCAGTTTCTTATCTCTGAATTTACTTGTTTCTATGTCTTCTGGTATTATGAAAGAAAGTAAACAGATCAGGAGTATTTCCATCTCCTAGAAGAGATCAGAATATGTGCAGCATTTTCACCCAGGTTTTTTCCAGTCCTCTGTTCATTCTTGTTGTCAACTTTTGAACCTATTGTAATTTCACAGCAGCATCTCTGGGTTGGTGTGCAGTAGTAATCCTGTTCAGACGGATCTGTTTGTCAGCTTCTGCAATGGCATTTTTTTCTACACTTCTCTGTTCACTTACAAAATATACTACTTTTTTGTTGTTGTTGCTGTAGACTGACTTGTGATCCACATAGTGTTTTCCAGCTGGAATTAATATCATAGATCCCAGCACTTGGGAGGGTATGTTTCAATAACATACAACATACATGTTAGCCTGGTGTTTAGCTCAGAACATGTTTTGCTTTCAGTGCCCTTTCATGTAGCTCTGCTTTGTCTTTCTGTAGCTTTTTCATGTTCCTCTGTACCTGCTTAACTTTAGTTTGCAAGGGAACAAAAGTTACCTACTTCATTGCTCACTGCCTCCTTTCTAAATTATAACCACAGACCTGAAGCCTTCATAATGCTGATGAAGACTGGTCAAGTCCTACCCTATTGCACAGCAGTTTCAGACACTCTTCAGAGTTGTCAGGAATTATAAAGGCAACCATCCAATATCCAGCAGTGTGGTAGCAACTGAGCTAATGATTCTGACTTCTAAAACCATGTTGTGTAGTCTGCAGTAGCATCATCTTTATGTTCTATTACTTCAATTAAGTTGCAAGATAAAAAATTACAATGTATTGTCCAGTAATTCCCAGTATCAGCTCTGTAGCCTTCCTTAAACTATAGATAAAGTATTTTATCTCAGTTTTTTTTTAGAAAGGATGGCTGTTGCTCAAGAGATTCAGAAAAAGACAGATTCTGATTCTGATATGTCTGCCTCTAATACTAGTATGTAAAAAGCTGTTTTGAGGTGGAGTGGGTAGAGGGGCACTTGACTAACCAAGTTTGTTGTGTTTCACTGAGAAGTGTGCAAGATGCTCTTCTGCAGAGTGTTATAGGGGTACAGCATGCTGGCCGTTTGTGATGGATGGCACCTGCATACGGGTAATACTTAGCTTTTGCTTTCTGTCTCATCTGTTCCGTCGCATGGGCAGGACTTCATTCAGGTGCATGAGGGTGGAGTATAAATGGGGGCTGCATTAACTGCTGCTTGCAGAGCACAGTGTAGGTGGCGTGAGAGGCAGTCACAAGAATGTCGAGGAATGTGTGTATGTCGTGTTTTATAGGAGTCCAGCTTAAGGGTCTCATAGGACCTGGATTTAAAAATAGATGATATTCTGGGACTGAGTATGGTCTGTTGTTATTTAAACAGTGCGAAGTAAAATAATTCACCTCTTTGTGGTGCTGTTTCTCAGGAAACTTTAGCAGGTTTGAACTGTATCCAGTGCTGGTATCCAGCTGAATAGCACTGGCAGCCTAGAAAACCTCAACAGCCATTTGCATTGCACTATCTTATGCTGACTCTGGTCTCTAATGCTCGTGATGGGCTGGGCTGGGACTCTCTGGCAGGATATTTTTCTTCATGTACTTTACTGACTCAGTGCAAGTCTGGGATCCCTTTTTGTTTAAGTAAGATGGAGCAGAACTACAACTCTGAAGTTTGTTCTTCTCCTTGCTCTACAAGGGCATTTTGAACACAGGAATAAAAAAATGTTTCTTGGCTCTTGAGAGAAGGGAAGTGGCTTGTCTAATGTAAGACAGCTGTTAAGAGTTGGTACATTCAGCTATGTGATTGTGGTCTTGGTTGTTATGTGTAGAGGCATCTTTCGTGAAATCTTCCTTTCTCTTTCAGTTTTAAGATAAGTCTGGGACAGGTGACTCACCAAACTAAAGAGCAGTGTGACTTGGCATTCCTGAAAATGAATCTTTTGTAATGGATAGCCCTGAAGCGAACAATGTGATAGTGTTGGACTATGTGGTTTCTTTTGACTCTGACATCTGCAAATATCTCATTTGCTTTTTTGCCCAGTTGTACAAGCTGTGTCTCAGTCTCCTCACTGTTCTCCAGAGCTGTTTGTTTTCTTCCAGAATGTTTTTCCTGTGTGTTTACTGTCCTTGGATTTTTCTGAGAAGCAGATGTTTCCAAACTCTTGGTTTTCTGAAGCATTGGCTGCTCAGTGATGTGAGCTCAGGCCATTAACTGTACGAGAGGCTGGGAGAATGCAAGACCCAAGGTATCAAGAGGGTTTCTTTCTCCAGTGGGAACGAACACTGTCTGAGGGATTTCAAAGTGCATTTAGTATTTTTCACTGACGTTGTGATCTGGTTGAAGCAACATGTAGTTGTCAGGTTAGTGTCTTGAGAGGTGAGTGGCAATAGGGATGTGAATTAGGAATAACGATGGAGGGAATGTGGCAGTCAAGTTGGTGGTAGGTATGTATCCTGTGCCATTGTGAGCCATGGGAAGTGTTCAGGAAACTGCTCTGTAGCATGAAGACAGAGTACAACCCTTTTTGTCCTTCTCAGGAGGACCTGGTGGAGAGACTTGTTGGACTGAATTCATATTGGTTCTACATGCTGTGCTTCTTGGCAGTGGAAATAACCCATGGAAATACCTGTCTTTTGAACAGATACGAAGTTTGCAAGTCAAGTGAGGATGACTCGGATTACGTTACTCTCTCTGTTTACTTTCGGGAAAAGACAATGAGGCAATCCAGCAATACTTCAGGGACCGTACTCTTTGGTCAGCCACTATTAATATCTGTGCCGAAGCACAAGCTCACTGTGGATCACTTGTACAGTGTGGTTTTGGAGCAGATCAGGTAAGTCATGTCTGTACCTTTGAATCCTATGCAAAGTTCTAGTGATCGCTTATTCAATTACACTGTAATAGGATTGTTGCATCCTTGTTAATGGGAAGAATTTTCCTTGACTTGTGTGTGGTGTATAAACCAGGATTTGCATTGCATTGGTGTCTGGAGGCTGCAGGGACATTTCAAGGTCCTGTTTTTTTGGTCTCTGTAAAAGTGGACTGTAAGGTAATGCTAGTGGCAGTCACAAGGAAGCTATCTGCTTGGTGTTGCAAAACGGGTCAGGAGCAGGCCATGTTTTCGGTGCTCTCAGATGGAGCCACCATAACATATTTTTGCCTTTTCCATTTACTGCCAATAAAACTTATAACAAGTAGTGAGAACAGAGACTTACTGAGTTGTTGGTGTTTGACTCTTGGTCTGTAAATGGTGCTGTACAGGATGGGTTCTGGTTTGCTGAGGGGGATTGGAGAGCAAGGGGATGGAGAGAGGTGCTGTTGTTTTGATGTACAGCTTTGGTATGATTGTGTGATAAACGTATTCCCTCTCTTTAGCCGCTATGTGAAGCTCCCTTTGACAGAAGAATACCCTACAACCTGCCCAGACAAAGGAACCTGCAATGGCTCCAATGGTGTGGTTGAAGGTAAAGTCCTTTCAAAATAGGCTGGAAGCTTTTCAGCACTTAAAGCTTTTTATTAACATTTGGTTGTGCTGTGTGTATTTGCCTTAAGCTCTAGCAGATTGTTTTTTCACAATGATTAAACCATGCTATTGCATAGGACTTCTGCATGGTGTGGTGAGAAATCTTGTAGACCATTTTCCTTCCAAGGGACATCAGATATGCGTAAGCAGGAGCAGGGCAACAAGGTGTGGTGTGCATTCATCTTGACCAATGTTAGGGAAGTCCTTGCTTCCCTATTAGGTATTCAGGAAGCTTTTAACATTGATTGCAAATGCATGTTTCCCTTTCCTCTTTTAAATGATTCACTTGTGCTGCTGTGAGTGTAACAACTGGAACAAGTTAAATGGGAAATTTTAAATGCGGGAAAAAATCTGCCCGTTTTTCCCAAAGAATGGAAATAACTTTCCTGGAGACTTACATATTCCCTTCTGTAAAGACAACTGCAACCTTGCTGATTCTCTCTTGGGATGTTTATTAGGATGTGCTGTCAGATGGTGTGATTTTTAACCTACTATGAACTGAGCACTCTGTCGCGTCTAGGATATAAAACCCACCATGTTACCTGTTATCTGCTAAAGTAAAAAATACAACTTCAGATGTAGTGGTTAGCAAGCACAGATTTCTTTTTCTGTGTGTCTTTACTTTCTGAGTAATCAGTGTGTGTCATAACAGGCTCATGCAAGCAAACAGCTGTCCATGTGAGGTGTCAGTCTAAACTTTCACTGAAGCTCTTAAATATTGTGCTTGTTTTAAATATTGTCAGGTGACATTGAAGAGATGGAGCATCAGGATGGTGGACAGGAAGGCAAGGAAAAGCTGGCAGAAGTTGATCCCTGCCACTCTGAGGGTTGTATGCAGATCGAGTCAGCAAGAGACCCGCAGCCTTACAAGAAGCAGCATTTCACTTTTAGCCTCGTGAATTCCTCTGGGACTTCTGAGATAAACTCCATTGTAGAAGGAAAAATCTTAAAACTGAATGGTAATTATTGTCTTGCTGTCTTTTTTTCTTCCTTCTCCTCACACCTTTGCAATAAATGTTTCTTCTTTCTTGTAGCTTTTTCTGCGCTTGCTATTGACTGGGATTCTGATACGCGGAGGCTACTTTTTGATGAACAGGAGGCACAGGTTGTAGTATGCTCTTTTCATAAATAATCTATATGTAAACTTGCATGTACTTAAAAGATGACAGTAAATGGTGAAATGTAGGTGTAGCTCCATTCATAAAAATTGGAGTCACCAGCATGAGGTATGTTTACTTAAAATCTTTTAGTGATAAGGTCTATAGATCTATAATTGCTGATCTGTTTCCACTGTGTTCTGAAAAGTAGACATTTTAATTTCAAAGCTAAGTAGTCTAGTTCATAGTCCACTCAACAAACAAAACAAACCCCCAAAACTCGAAAGAAACCTGAAAACAAATTCATAAAGCCTAGTAGAAAGCTCTGTACTCTTTCTGTGAGAGTTCTGCTGGATCATGTTTTGTAACAGAATAACCTGTTGTTACTCTTTTGCAAAAAACCCCAAACCCACCAACTTTGAAGTAAGGACATATTATATTTTCTCTTATGGACTGTTGCTAACACAAGAAAGGAGTAGCTGGAAGTTTGAGTTGATTGTGTGGGTGGGGAAGGGCAGAAATAGGCAGCATGGTGAAGGCGAGCATGTTCCTTTTTGTGCTGTCAAGGATTAAAGACTAAATGGAATTGAAAAAAGTGTACATCTCTTTCACTAGGCATTTGAAAAACATGGAAGTATGTTACAACCACAGAAGAAGAAGGCTGTGGTAGCCCTCAGAGACTGCATAGAGCTCTTCACTACTATGGAAACGCTTGGTGAACATGACCCGTGGTAAGACCCTCTGTCTGCCTCCCATGTTTATCATAAAATGCCATAACTATTTGAGTTCACATTATTTGTCATGGGATTCTGATAATTTCCCAGGTCTGTCCTTCTGTCTTCATCTGTGAGAAGTCTATCAGTTCTGTGTTAAGTCATTGACTCAACAGGCTGCAGACATCAGTTAACAAAAAGTATTTGTTTCCTGCCTTTACTTACAAGAAAAAAAAAAAAAAGGAAAAAAAAAGTGGCAGTGGGCATGTAGCTTCCAAAGATCAGGCTATTTTTAATTCCCCAGAATACATCTGTCATCTTAGGGGTTAATCCTGTATTACTTCTACCTTGAACCCGTCCTGACCTGCTCCTAACTCTTACCAAAAATCCATAGTCTAGAGGAGCTAAGTCCAGCAGATCCTAAGTGACCAAAATGTGATTACTGTGCGTGCAGAAGATCTTTGGAGGTTGTTAGCTAGCTGTGTAAGAAAATAACTTATAGTGTAGTAGATGACTGGTTTTTATTAATTTCCAATTACATGCTATAGATGTGTTTGCAACTGTTACCTGTTTGAGCTGCATCAGGAGACAATAAAGAAGTAATGGGACCTTTAAACCTTTTTTTTAATTTACAAAAGAAAAATTAATCTTTGTACAATGTTCAGTTAACGCAGTTGCCATAGGACATCTTGCCTATAAAGTGAAAGCAAGTTGCAGTTTGGAAACCTCTGAGGAAGAGTGTTCACCTGCATATTCCACAGCCAAAATGCCTTCTGTAAGGCACGGGACTGTACTGCGCTATCGAGGCGTCTTTTAATGGAAGGCTAGAAGCTTTTCTTTTAAAGTAGTCATTCATTTCCTTGTTTGTTACTCCTTCCTCAGGTACTGCCCTAACTGTAAGAAACATCAACAGGCCACAAAGAAGTTTGACTTGTGGTCTTTGCCCAGGATCTTGGTAGTGCATTTAAAACGCTTCTCATACAGCAGATACTGGAGGGATAAACTTGACACTGTTGTGGAATTCCCTATCAGGTAGGATTCTTCCGTCAAGCGAGGAAGAGTTTGAAGAAGCTAGTCAAGAGAAGTCTACTTCTGATGTTACTGTTGGGTGGGCTTGTTATTAAAGCTGTAACTGGAACTGTCTTCTGGGTTTGAACTGCAAGACAGCAGGCATGAGTTGAGTTGGTTGGGATTGTTGGGGTTTTTTTGTTTATTGGTTGGTTTTTTTTGTTAATCTTAACCTTAATCAGTTCTATACATCTCAACACAAGTTACTAACAGGTACTGTTTCTTCTGAAGTTAGTTTAAAACCATGTGATTCTGCTGAACCAAGAGAACTTGCAGAGAGAATTTAGCACATTTGTGGGGCAGAGCTGCACTTGTAGTACTGAGAATTGCACAAGTACAAGATGAAAGCCTGCCTCATTCCACTGCTTCTGCTTGTCAGCATCCTGCTGCAGGATTAAGTGTATTCCTTACTACTCCCGTCTCACTTTTCATGCCTACACAGGGACACTCTGAACTGTCTTTAATTCAGCACCTCCCTCTAAATCTCTTGGCGGTGCTTGATGTGTTTACCAGGGCCTGCCCTGTGTGGGAGGGGTAACATGTCTGGTCTTTACACTAATAACATCTGGCCATTGAGCAGCAGAGTGCAGCACTTCTCCACCAGTGCAGCCTGCCTGCAGAGCTTCACTGGTGTCATGCATCACTTTTTAGAAAGTGCTGGTTACTGGTGTACTGATACTTCTGGATTTCCTTCCAGGGGTTTAAACATGTCCGAGTTTGTCTGTGACCCAAGAGCAGGCTCATATGTGTATGACCTCATTGCAGTTTCCAATCACTATGGAGCCATGGGAGTAGGCCACTGTGAGTAACTGCTTCTGTGTCCTTTGTGTGCAAGGAAACATGGGCAGAGGGGTCATGGGAGGAGGGATTTGTGTGTTGGAGACCTGCAGCAGCCCACACCAAGGGTGTCTAGTCCAAAGCTTACCTGTGTTCTGTATGCAGGTGAATATTGTATTGGAAGGTAATGTCCTTCCTATTAGGATCTGCAGAGCAGGTAGCCAGTTTGTGTAGTTTGCAGTTGCCTGAGGTCTGACTCTGATGCCTGTGGGACCTTGGTTAGTAGACATTAGAGTGTGTGATGGTGTTCCCCAATTTATGAGTGGAGTAAAAATTTTTCCATGCCGAACGTGAAACTGTGGAAAGGAGCTTCCTACTGGGGAGTGGTGGGGAGAGTCTTCAGTGTAAGCTGTCAGTTCAGCTCCGAGACTCAGCTTCTTTCCCTGCAGCTGCTTGTCCAATGTAGGTGCAGCATCACAGCTGCAGAGCAGAGATTGCCAGCAGTCGAGCCAGCCAAGCAGGAGCTTGCCAGGTTCACCCAGTGGTGATAAGACAAGATCTGACGAGCAGCTGTCACCCATAAGCTGGGAAGACAGAGCAGAGGGCATAGCTTGTTGTGAAGCTGGGTCTGATGCCTTTCTGCATTTTCTATCCTGAATTCTGTTTGCTGCAATAGCAACTTAAAGCACTTTTTTTTTTCTTTCATTTTCCTTTGTTCCAGACTTTTTCTAAAGCCACAAACAAATGTGTAGTTCTTGCAACCTCTTGGTTGCACAGCTGGCACTAGCTTACAATAGAATGTCTCCACCTTTACACTGACAAGGGCTCACATAGCAGGGAAAATGTCATGCCATCAGGAGAAAAAGACCCTTTCTTATACACGACAAGTCTGATAGATGACAAGTCTGTATTTTCTGTCACTGATTTTGTTGCAGTGTAGATGAAATGCATCTGTAGATGGAGTTCCCTGTATCAGGTGTCTGTGCAGATCCATGCTGTAGGTGGCACTTCTAGAACCACCCAGAAGCATTTTACTATGGGAGGATGATGAACTCCCATTTGGCAGTGTATGTGCTTAACTTGTAGAGTATGTCACTGTAGGACAGCATTAGCTGAAGGGGGATATGTTTTGAGATTGGAGATCATAGTCATGGAAGTTTTGGATGGAAGAGACTTTGCAGGACTTTAGTCCAACATCCTTTTTGAGTGAGGACTCTTGCAAGCACTAGATCAGATCCATCATCAACAAAACTTCTCTTTCACATGAAAATGCAGAGTCTTGAACTGTGTGTTTGGGAAAGCTCTGACTCAAAGGGGGTGAACAAAACACTGTAACTTTTTTCCTAAGTTTCTTTGCCCTATACCTCTGTTATCAGGGCTAAGTCTGGTATGTGGAACATGGTTCTAGACTAGCTGGACCAGCTAGCATGTTCTAGAAGATGTGTATGTCGGTAAACTAGGTTTGGGGTAGTTAATGTCAAAGCTAGCTCCTGGCCTCCCATGCACACTCAGTTTGAGTCTTGAGCATCGCTAGCGCAGCGCAGCTGGCGTGGCGTTACCTACCAGTCTTCCTGGGAGTACTGAGCTGCAGTTTATTCTCCTAACAGACACTGCCTACGCAAAGAACAAAGTGAATGACAAGTGGTACTACTTTGATGACAGCAGTGTGTCGGCAGCTTCAGAAGACCAAATAGTGGTGAGTACTTGGCCTGAGGCTAATCTGAGTTTGTGCTGAAAGTGCGGTTCCCTCCTTTGGGTGTTACATTTCCAGCCAAGCTGTGTGGATTGTTTCAGGTGGTTTTCTTCTTTGTTTGGTAGACAAAAGCTGCGTATGTGCTGTTTTATCAGCGCCGAAACAGTGAGGAACATACTGCCCCATCTCCTCCTCAAGAAGAGTGTGACGGCATGGATACCAACTAAACATCATCTCCAGCACTTGCCACCATGTTAGTGGTTGCTCTTCTAAAGCCATGCCTGAGGCGTATGAAAATTTTTCTTCCTTCTGTAGGAGTCAAGCAGAAAATCTAGCACTGAAAGATTCAGTGCTGGGGGTTGCAGAATAGCACTGGAGAGCCAGGAATAGGTGCTGACACTTGGGTATTTAGAGGCCAAAAATAATATATATTGGAGCTTCAATAAAGTTCTTTTTAAAATCTGGCTGAGCTGTGTGGCTAGAGGCAGGGGTCGGGGCTGAGCTGGGCTGCGGCTTTGGGTCTTGGGCTAGGGTTGTAGCTGGGGTCAGGAGAGTACAGCCTGAGCTGGAGGCCAGGTCACAGCTGAGCCTTGCAGGGGCCTGCAGAGGAGTATGGTGGGTACGATTCTGTGAATCAGCATGGGGGCTTCCTGCCAACCCTCTGGTGTTGCTGTTGGGCACTGCCTGTGTCAGGGAGGCTTGCTGCACCCTTTCTGGAAGCGCTGTTCAAATTTGTGTATATCTGGCCTGTCTGTCGCAGTATCTGCCATCATACCTTGGTCCCCTTGCTAAGCAGGAAATGGTTCTTTTTCTCCTGTCCTTTCACTGATGCATTTGAGGCTCTTCTGGGCAGTTTTGACTCTGCCTTTTTCATGTGAACACTGAATCCTGTAAGGTAGGACATTTTTCCAGAAGCGAATCATACCTGCCTATGGTATGGCATATGTGCAGGCTGATCCGCACAGCCATGCAGGATACAGCTGTTTTGGCTCCCATTCTTCTGCAGAGAAAATATCATCCATAAGGTTGGCGATTTCTTGTCCTCTCCATCCATCTCCCACACCTCCCACTTCTAGGCTGCTCTGTAAGCACTTTTCTGCCTCCACCATTTCTCCTATGGTTTGTGCAGTGGCAGCATTTTTATCCTTTTATAATTTTTTTGACTCCTTGGAGCTTTTTCTCCAGCAAAGCTCAGCACTGTGTCCCCAGAGCTATCACCTGTAAGGGTGACAGCCCAATGCAATGGATTGTCTGAGCTTTCAGCCTTTCTCCTCCTTCCTTGAGCACTGCCCTTTAGATCCCATGCTCCATCATCTTCTGTGAGGCTGCAGGTGTGACGGTCCTGTCCAAGGTCTCTCTGCCTTAGCTGTTCAATAGTTCTGCTCCATCCTTTTGGCGCAACTGGCAAATGCTCTTCCCTCTGTCCTCCTTTACTGTCTATGTTGCTTGTAGGACTTGAGTCCAGCTTTCTTCTTGAATGAGGACTCCTGTGAGCACTAGATCAGGTCAGTCCTCAGTGGAGAACTGGTCCTCCATGTGAAAAATGGGAAAAATCTAGAGCCATAGTCTATGTTTTTTAGGGAAAGATCTAGCTCAAGGTGGTGAACCAAACAGGAGGGTTTTTCCTTCTTGGAGCCAGGTGCATTGGCAGAACAAAAGGCTAAGACACGCTACTCCCCTGCTTTTTTTCCCACTGAAATGCATGCTTGCAGCCACTCGGTCCTCTGTGCACAGTCCCTGTGGCTTCATTGCTGACCATAACCTTCTCTGATGGTCAGCGTAACAGTGGTCATCCATTTAACTCTGAATACACCACCTCAGCTCCCTTTCCGCAGCTCTCTGCAGCAAGCCCCATAGGAAATTGCTGTGTGGCCATCCCTGTACCTCCGCTGTGCCGCAGCTGAGCAAAAGCCCAGCCAGCTACTCGCTGTCTTCTCTGGCTCCAAGCAATGGGAAGGGAAGGCAGCACTATGCAGCCCCTTAGCCAGGGCACTGGGAGGCCATAGAGAGGAGGAGGGAGGGTTGCCTCTAGCTGGCACACTAGTGTTGTGATCCTCTTCTGTGGAATTTTGCTTTTAAAGCATTGAAATTTGAATTTTGAGATCAGAATTGCTTAATTGCTTCTGCTGTTCTGGTTTTGGGGTTGTTTGGGATTTTTACAACTCTTAATACTGTATTTCTGGTTTTTTTTCCTCAGTGCTGAGGGGAGCATCCAAAAAGCAATTTTTAAGCTGTAGCACTGCACTGAATTACTCTGATCAGCATTTTTTTGTTTGTTTTACCCTGAAAGAAAATCATGTGGGCATTCCAGAATGGGGAAGAGAGGAAAGGGAGGGGAGTAAAAGACCTTTTTAAAAGAAAAATCAATCTGAAACAGCCTTTGTCCTCTTCCTTGCCTCCATACCTGTGCTGACACTGAGAAACACATCAGTGGGGCTACATCTCCGATGCTCAGATGCTGAACAGACTGTTGTTGTACTGCAGAAAAAGTGGCCCAGCTCTTACTTTCTCTGCCTCTGAGCTGATGGGCTTCAGCTGGTGTGTGTGTGCTGTAATACCAGACCTGTTTTTTAGACTAGCACTTTGTAAGTGGCTGGCTCTATTGTACAAAGAGGAAAATTAAAGAGTGGTTTGCACTGAAACTGGGTTTTGTTGTATTTTCAGCTTTCATTATGTGACCTGAGACTGCTGGTTGTGGGGATGGGATGCCGGGTGCTCCAGGAGCTCTTTCAGCTAGGGGAGGGCAAGTCCTATGGAGCCAACCCCTCCCTGCTCTGCCGGGGGTTTGGGAGAAAAACAGACGTTGCCTGCACCACTCTGTACATCTGAGAGTTTGTACTCACTCCAGGGTTGCCTTTTCTCACCTGCAGTGCTGGGTTGCTGATATCTGGTGCTGTAGCACAGCCTGTTCTTGCCTTTCTGTGGCTCTGGGCAGCCTCAGCTACAGCTTCCTCATCATTCCTCTTCCTCTGCGGATCTCAGGGGGGGTGTCCTAGCCTTCCTTCTGTCCCGTTTCTCCAGACGTATCAGGGCTGCTTGTGGCTGTACCACTGAAATAGTTGTCCTGAAGTCACTGCAATTTCCTCCTGAAGGCAACCTGAACATGTATATGAGAGCAGGCTGGAAAAGACTGAGGAAGTTAAATGTGATGGGCTTGTGTGCATTTAGCATTGGTGTGCGTGCAGGGAATCTGAGGGATTGTCAAAATCTTGCAGGTCAAGGTGGGCTGTGAAGCCCCAGCAAGAAGGTTTGAAGTCTTCATGTCGTGATTACGGTGTAATAGTGGAGGAGCTTGATCTTAGCTGGAGCCTCAGTGATGGTGAGAAGAGCCTCACTGTAGAACAGCAGATGGTGAGCTTCACTATGAAATGCTGGCCTCCAAAGCGTGGCATGAAACCCATCACGGGAAGAAGGGGAAAGCAAAGGGGCAGCTTTCGGACGTGGAGGTGTTTGGGTATTTTGTGTCAGCATGCAGGCTTGCAGGAATGGCTTATTGTCATGGTTTAAACCCAGCTGGCAACTAAGCACCACACAGCTGCTCACTCACTCCCCCCCAGTGGGATGGGGGAGAGAATTGGAAGGGTAAAAGTGAGAAAACTCATGGGCTGAGAAAGAGACAGTTTAACAGGTAAAGCAAAAGCTGCGCACGCAAGCAAAGCAAAACAAGGGATTCATTCACCACTTCCCATGTGCAGGAAAGCAGGGCTCCATCACGCCTAATGGTTACTTGGGAAGACAAACGCCATCACTCTGAATGTCCCCCCTTTCCTCCTTCTTCCCCCAGCTGAGCATGACACCATATGGTCTGGAGTGTCCCTTTGGTCAGTTGGGGTCAGCTGTCCCGGCTGTGTCCCTTCCCAACTCCTTGTGCAGCCCCAGCCTGCTCGCTGGTGGGGTGGGGTGAGAAGCAGAAAAGGCCTTGACTCTGGGTAAGCCCTGCTCAGCAGTAACTAAAACACATCAACACTGTTTTCAGCACAAATCCAAAACATAGCCCCATACTAGCTACTATGAAGAGAATTAACTCTACCCCAGCCAAAACCAGCACACTTACACAAGAACAACAGAGGGCATGAACCAAAATGAAATTCCCCATTGCAAAGGGGAGGGAAAAATAACCTGAAACAGAAATCATGTTGCCAGTGAAGCACTGTTACTAGCATTCAGGAAAGAGGTCTCTGAGGCAGAAAAGAACATCTCTGAGCTAAGGCTCCTGTTCAGAGGGAAGACAATTTTGGCAAGAACAGAAAACAGGCTGTGTCTCAGACTTGGCTCAGCTCCTGCTTTGAAGAGGCTGTGTAATTTCACCCCCCAAAAAAGGGCTCAGGGGGAGAAACCAACAGCCACAGAGTATGGAAGAGCTTCTGTGTAAGAAGCATTTCCCTAGGTTAGGACTCTTCTCCCTGAGGAAGAGCGATCTGAGGAGCTCCTGCAGAAGGATGAGCCAGGAACAGTTGCTCCCTGTTCTCTATAGTGCAAGAAGATGTCAGGTGGGAGCCTTAAAGCAAGGTATTTATATTCCCCACCTGGCATGGTAAATAGCTGTACAGGGACTACAGGCAACAGCCAGGCACCATTCCTTGCTAGGCGTACCTCCTGCAGGAGGAGGGCCCCTGCAGGCAGTCTGAGGTGCTTATAAATGGACTTGGGAAGGATTAAATTAACAGGGAAATAGTCTGTGTGTTTGCTACCTCTGCATAGAAATGCCATCTCTGGCTCTCCGTTGCCAGAGAAGTTGCAGAAGTTGCCCCCGTGACCACCGGTGTGTCCACCAGCAGGTTGACCAGGGCAGAAGAAAGCAGAGGGATGCTGCAGCACCAGGGAGCCTTGGTGCAGGCTTGGCTACAAGAGGAAGGTGAGCTGTCCCGTGCTTTGCCGTGGGCAAGTGGTATTTCCCTCTTGCTTTTTTCTTCTGAGAAAGCTTCAAACCCCGATTATTGTAACAGGAAAAAAAGAGTATAAAGAGGAAGAACCACTGCTTTCAGAAACTGAATCTGAAGGTGCATTACATACTTTGTTGCTAAGTCAGTCTTGAATTAGCTAACATGAAGGATAATGAGCTATGCATTTGTTCAAAAGGATAAAACCAGAAACATAGGCACTACTTGTATACTTTTTCAGTCTCATGAAGTTTTAAGTTAAGGAACTTAACTCAAGCAAGCTTGCTCTTTGTGTACTAGAACTAGAAATTTTAGGTCTTTTCTCCAGCATATGTTTCCCAGGAATAGAAACAGAACTCCAGCTAGAAACCCACACTCAGAGCCTTTGGCTCAAATACAACACACACAGTCCTGGGGCTCAAATCAAAGTTAGGTAACTACAGTTCTGAACATGGTGCTTTTCTTTTATTCTCAGCCTTGCTAAAATACATTATATAGTTTTAAGGAACAGATTTCTTTTCAAATTAGTTTTTTACAAGAAGAGACAAAAGCATATTCTCAAATTCAGAAGATGGAGGTCTGAA